AGAGAGAGAGAGAGAGAGAGAGAGAGAGAGAGAGAGAGAGAGAGAGAGAGAGAGAGAGAGAGAGAGAGAGAGAGGAACGGCTGCCAAAAGGCTGTTCTGCGTGGTATTCTGCCCTCCCCTCCTCTCTCCCTCCCTTTCTTCTTTCAGCTGCCCATCTTGTAAGTGGTGTCTTTCATTTGCTCCTTCCTCATTGGACGTGGTCTGGCATCTTCACATGAAAGCTTGGTTGCCCCCATTTCTTGGACTAAACCAGCAATAACTCCACAGGCTGACCCCAAAAGATCGGTACCCCCGAAAGGGTTGTACCTATTGTTTGGGGTCAACCTGTGGACCCCTTAATGGTTCACTTTGGTCCGACGTGTTACGTATGTTTAGGAGGTTGCTGGTCTGGTAACTCTGGTTCATCATATGCAGTGATGCTACATCATGGCGATCTCAGGGAGATTTCCCCTGTAACAATAGATAGTGATGTTTATACTACTTTATTATAGATACAATGATGTCACTGACATATCAAAAAAGACATGCAAGTGCTTACGACCACACAATTGGAATGCCGATCCATACGGCCTAATCAGTGGCGGGCCAGCGATAACCGTTCCACACTCACCCTCATCAGCTGCAGCAGGAAGGAGGTGATGTCTCTCCCAGCAATTGGGATGGCCTTGATGCTGCTCCCAATCACGTAGCCATCCACGACCGGAACCACATGCGTAACCCCATCGCCAGAATCGACTACCACCCCTGTCAAAGCATGCTAAACACACAACGACTACTTAGTACTTGTAAGTACTAAGTACTGGATCACCAAAAAGCATGCTAAACACCTGACTACCTACTACTGGTAAGTACTAAGTACTAAATACTAGATGAACAGCAAACTACTTAGTACTTAGTACTTGTAGTACTTAGTACTTGTAAGTGCTAAGTACTGGATAAACACCCAAGTACTAAATACAGGATCAGCAAAAAGCATGGTAAACAACCAACGAATACTTCATACTTATAAGTACTAAGTACGGGATCAGGAGAAGCATGCTAAACACCCAACAAATACTTAGAAGTTAGTACTCAGTACTTGTTGGGTACTAAGTACTGGATCAACAAATAAGATACCAATTGCTGGCTACCATAGCTTGGCTTGCAGACAATTCTTATAGAGAATCATAATGACTGCATCAACTGATTAGTGGATGAGAAAACGGATGGGGATAGCGAGGGGGAGGGAGGGGGGGGAGGGGGTAAGGGGAGGGATGGAACATTCCTCGGTATTGTACCCAAGGACATGTTACAACTCCATCTTGTCTTTTGCATGAAAAGGTGGCCACTTAAAAAATAAATGGGGCCCACATTAAGAAAATTGGGCCACATAAAAAAGAGGGAGCCCACATAGAGAGAGGGGCTCCAATTAAGAAAACGGGCCTACACACAAAAAAAAAAAAGAAGGCTGCATCAAAACACGGGCGGCTTGCAGTGTTCCCCCAACAGCATTCTTTCAGCACTCCTGGGGGTGCTTGGGCATTATTGATAGCAGGAGAGGGGTAGAGAGGGGTAGAGAGGGCCAGAGGGACAGAGGGGCAGAGCGGCAGTGGGCAGAAGGGCAGAAGGGCAGATGCGCTAAGGGGAGAGGGGGACACTGTGGGGACAAAAGGAAGAGGAGGGGGGGGGGGGAGGGGGACGGGGGGGAGAACAGGGCGGGGATGGGGAAGTGTCATTGGGTAGCCAACCATTATTGTTTCATTAGCATAGCAGCCTTTCGTACTATAGGATACTAGCAACCTCTAGCACACCAAGCCACTAGCATGCGCCAGGGTTTGCTCGCATACAGCCAGGGGTGCACTAAAGGATTCAAGACTTAACTCAGGGCATACTCACACGGAGACCCTTTTTTCTCAAAATTTGCAGCCTTTGCGATCTCGAAAAGAGAGTTTGCCCCTCGGCCGGGTCGCAACGGCATCACATTTGGGATGTGACACGGTTGCGGTGTTCTGGCCATTGCACATTTTGGTTGCAGCGTAGTAACCGGGCAACTGGCACCATTTTTTTCCCCCCTGGCATTTCCTGGTCCCCTCCTAGGCTCCTCTCCTACACACCTTCCTTTTTTCATGTCCATCGGAGTCCTGTTTTCATGGAACCGTTTCTTTTTTTCCCTCCTTTTTTCTTTCAGAATTCAGAAACATGGAGGAGGACTCCGCCATCACCTCCAGAGGTCACCGCAAGTTCCTAAATCTTTCAACTCGGCAGGCCGCAAAATTTGTGCCATCAAATACTTTTTTTTTTTTTTTTGCGAATTTTGATCCCTCAGTGTGTGACTATAAAGTCAGTATAAAGCATACCTGCGGCGCATCACTTGCGCACGAGCTCCGCACGTGCGGAGCATAGCACACGCGCAAGCATGCGCGCGCACGTGATGCGGCGCAGGGTAAAAAAAAAATTCGGAGAGCGCTGGCTGAGGTAGCCAATGATGCCCCTCCCTTCTAAAAAATCGAAGGGCACCGAAAAAAAAATTGGCGCCACATATTCCTTGTTGAATAGTCTTTTTCCCGAAGGACCCCAGCAGTGCATCTGCAGGGGTCCCGACATCTCAAGAGACGTTCAGCAAAATTTATGTGAGAGAGGAGCAGGCCAGCAATATATGCTCTGGATTTCCAGCAGTTATGGGTCACAAGTTACAAATACTTACTACCGTAGGTAGCTCTGTCTTTCTTTCGTTTCGTTTTCCTACGAGCAGTGACCCTAAGGGCCTTGCTCCACTCGTCACTACTTGCACAAAAGACAAAACATACGGCGGTGTATGGTTCCATGTTCTAGCAGAATCGGTGGTCCCATAACTGCTGAAACACGGACCTTAATGTGAATCAACAGCATACATACTTGGCGTGCCATGACCCTAGCATGGCTATGAGCATTGCCTCGTTCATGGTGAGGACGCCCTCGCTAATTATCTGCAGGGGCCTCTCGGATAATTCGCAGGGATTTTCTTATAAATGTTAAGGAGCTATGTGTTTGCTCTCTCTCTCTCTCTCTCTCTCTCTCTCTCTCTCTCTCTCTCTCTCTCTCTCTCTCTCTCTCTCTCTCTCTC